TACTGCTCCTCATATTTAATAAGAATATATTTGGAAAAAAACACATGCCTTATGTATTTATTATTTTAAATTGATTTTAACAAATTTTTTAATAAACCTAAATGCATAGAATTTATTTTATATTTTAAACTGGAAAAAATATATAGTTAATTACAGATATTTGAGCTTTAGATTTATTACTCGCTTTGTTCTAATTATAAATATCTAAATATCCAAATTATTTAATCTAAAAAAATTATTAAATGATAATATTAAGATATTTAATATTAATAAAAAATTCTCAAATATTAACATATTATGTCTAATTTTCAAAATAATAATAATTGTTATAAAAAAAATCATTTAATTATAATAATTTTTTAGTTAAAGGACTATAAATATGTTTTTTAAGATTAAGAAATCAAATTAAAATATTTTATAAAATTAAAAAAAATGTATACTTTAATATATTTTTAGTTAGATATATTTTTGATGTTAAATAAATCATTTTAAATTTGAGGCTGTGAAAGGGATAATAATTTTGGCTAAAAAAAGAAAGAAAGGGATAATTATCATATGAGCGATGGCAGGAAAAAAATATATCATATTAATTTATATAAATATTAATTCATTCAACTATTTAATTCAATTAAACGTTTATCATTATTATCAGGTCTTATGTTTCGTTATATACATAATTGTGTTATATTCTTTTTTCACCCGTAATTGCGTTATATTCTTTCAAACCCAGTGACTCAATATTTTAGTCTTGTCACTTACTTTTGCCAGGCATAGTTTTGTCACATACATTCAGGGGTTGAGATTTGTTTGGATATCATGAGAAGTGATTTTTAGAATTATTTTTCTTACAAATTAAGATAAATTTTTTCATATATTTATTTTGTATATTATAAAAATATTTTTAAAAGTATGGTTTCGATTCTATCCAAATACTCCTGGGCGGGAGAATGAATGAGTTTTCAGCATCACACTAAATTCAGAAAAAATTTGGTCAAAAGGAAAAAATAACTCATATTTGGAAAAAATGAATAAATTCATAGTCATTGATTTTCGATCCGCAATATGTAATTTTTATCCCTTGATTTTACAACTTCACACACACACACACATTGCAATTTATGCCTTTCTTCTCAAATATTGGAGCCATTTTACATTTTGACAAATTTTTTTGCATATTTTGTGAATGGGTGAAAAGGCCGATCTGCTGCCACAAAATTGCACAGTGATTTTTTCTTTTTGGGGGTGGCAAGTGAGGCTAACGCCAAAAAACGGTTTATATAAGATTTGTGAGTTATAAAGTATTATTTAATTTTCAAAATCATTTCTTTCAGCAATTGAACTTAAAAAATACTGCATGATTTACAGACGTAATACAAACATAAAGAATTACAATTTTGTGAGTTATAAAGTATTACTCAATTTTCAAATCTATATACTGCCTCCGGTCTTAATTATAAAAGCTAGTTGACTAATTTAAGGTGATTAAAAAAAGAAGTTAAGTTAGTTATTTGTAATAAATATGTGTTATCTTTTTAAAAACATATTTACTAATCAAGTGTATTGGTTACAATTACCATTGTTAGAAGGGCTATCTTGAAAAAAAATATAAATATGAGACACATAATAGATTGAAATCTTATATTTAGGATCAAAATAAAAACCAAATAAAGTTTTATATTAAGGACCAGAAGTAGTAATATATAATCTCATTTAAGTTTATATAAGATTTTAGTTTAATTCCTTAATTTTTTTGAAAAGTATATTTTTAGTCATTTAATCTTAGAAAAAAGTAGTCTGATTATTTTTTGTAACAATTATGAGTTAGTATTTGATAATATTTAATATGTTAATATCATCATTTTTTATTAATTTTAATATCAGAAGGTTAAAAATGTATTTTTTTTACAGTTAAGTGATTAAAGCGAAACTTTGCGCAAAATTAGTCGTTCAGCCCCCCCTTCCGTCCGTCATTCAGCCCCACTATGTGCAAATTAATTATTCTACTTGCATCGTAGCATCCTCCCTGTCCTTCCAAGATAGCCCAGCTTGCTTTTAATTTCTTCTTCCTCTCTCCAGCGATTCCAGTTCCAGCGAACCAGAGGAGGTTCTTCCTCTCTCCACCGATTCCAGTTCCAGCGAACCAGAGGGGGCTCTTCCTCTCTCCAGCGATTCCAGTTCCAGCGAACCAGAGGGGGCTCTTCCTCTCTCCAGCGATTCCAGTTCCAGCGAACCAAAGGGGTGATTTTTTCCAAATATGAGTTATTTTTTCCTCCAGCGATTGCCATAATCTTCTCTTCCTTTGTTTCCAACTGTTCCCTTGGCAGTCGGTCCATCCAGTTCGTTTGTCTCAACATCAGACGGTAAGCATGTTTTTTTCCTTTTCTCAGTTTGTTTTATCTATCTGATTGATTTGTTGGTTTTTCTCTTCTGGGTGGCTGTCTTCGGTTTCTTGGTCTCAAACTGCTTCCTGCTTTCAATATCATTATTCCATTGCCTTAGATAGTTAATGTACTCTCCAGTGTAGTTGATTTTACTTTTAGCTGATTCGGTCTGTTGAGGTATTTACTATACTTCATAATGACTTTTAGTTGAAACTTGAATTTGGAGTTTACTTTCCTTAAATTTAAATATATGTGCATTTTGTCATAAAAAAAAATATATATGTGTGCGCGTTTCATTTGTTAAATTACATTTAATAATAATTATTATTAGGAGAAATTAATTTGAAACCGTTATATTTTGTCTTAATTTCAGTTACTAAAATAAGTCTCCACATAAATGATATCATTTTGATAGATAGACATATATATATACACATATTTTAGAAGAACAATTTTATTTTAATTTAAGTTAAAGAAAACAGAAAATATGAAAATAAACAAGATTCAAAATGAAACACAACATAACTATATACATAAGCCATCAGTGAATGCCACATACATGGGTATACATATATATATATGGATAACTTGTATTCTCCGTTTCTGGATTTTGAATGTGTTGCCGTAGAGATGAATGAAAGATTTCATACATGCTGGCAAAAAAAAAAGAAAAAAAAAACTCTTCTTCGCCCTCTCCATAATTGTGTGTTTTTTCTTATAATTTATGTTTTAAAAATGTTATCATTTCCATTCTTATATTAAAGCACTCCTAAATTTATAAACATTCATTAAAAAAGTTAAAAAATAGTTCATTAAAAAGATTAAAAATTATTACTGGTTTTCAAAATTACTCTCCAATTATTAAAATCAAGAAATCTTAATTACTTTTAATTTTGCTTTTACATAATATTTCTCTACAATGCAATTAATATGGATATTTGTGAAATAAGAAGAATTGAGTGCCATATATTTAGCATCATTTGCATGAGTTTTCTTGCTCTCTAATTTACTCGGACAGACGTGTTGGATTCTCTTAGCTAGTCTGTCTTGTTCCGTGTTAACTTTAATGCCTACTAATGATGAATTCAAATTATCTCAAGGTATATTTATGTGTATACTGTATACATTCAAATTGAAGCCATTGTAATTACGCTAATAAATGTGTTCCTGATAAGTGCTATGTATGGTTTTTCATGATCAAATGTAGTTTTGTTTAAGACCTGAAAGCTCTGTAACTAACTAAGGGCTCGTTTGGTTCAACCCCATTGCACTTCACACTACAATGCAGTGCAATGTAATGGGGATACAATGTAATAGTAATTATGTCATTAGTGTTTGGTATGTTTTTTAAATGAGAGTGCAATGAAGTATTTTTTTAATGATCATATAAAATTAAAATACAATAAAAAGACCATTTTATCCCTCAAATAATTCCCTCGACCCCTCCAAAATATCAAAAAAATATTATTGTCTTGTCCTTTCAACATTTCAAATCCCATTTGTTCATAGTTCATCAATTTCAATATATAAGAGTATATGAACTAGTGACACACGCAGGATAGAGTTGCCAGCGTTTTTTGTTTGGGTTTTTTGAAACTAGAAACCCAGAATCATGGTCGACAAATTCTTCAACTATTTTTCTTAGCCCCCTCCCTTCACAGACGCACAAGATAGCAACTTCAATCAGAACTCAACAGAAAACAATAACAAAACGAATGGCGAAAGTAGAAGAAACAACAGTGAAAGAGAACAAAAAACCAACACTTACCTCGTCAGTGCAAGTAAGGACATCTCTCCTTTCGTTTGCCGCAAACCCACCTTGTTCTCAAGTGGCGCTCCCTTGTTTGTATTTCTGGAGATATATGCTAGTGCTTTTGCTAATGAATAAGTGGATTGCACCATTTGTGGGATTTTCTTAATTAATGACGTGATTGCATAATTTGTGAGATTTTGCTGATGAACAATTCGGTCGCATGAGATTTTGCTGATGAACAATCTGCTTGTATGATTTGTGAGATTTGCTCATGATTGATCTGATTAGGCAATTTGTTTATGAGGGCAAATTCTGTCTTTTCGTTATGTTGTTTAGGACAAAATTGATATTTCATAAAAGATTATATATTTGCAATGAGCATTCATAAGGGTTTCCCTAGGAATGAATATTACTAAAAAATGTGCAATCATTTTTACCAATGTAATGTCTTTTACCATCAATAAGTCCAACCAAACAAGTTATATGTGGTAATGCAATAAGAATTACCATTGCATGTGTGCAATGAGATTGAATCAAACGGGCCTTAAGTTATTGCTACCCTATGTTGTTGTCTTGCCATAAAAAATGTAGTTTTGCTTCTTTATTCTTTCTTGTTTTGTTCTTTCAAAAGCTTTATTTTTTTTAATGCTAAATGAAATAAGAAAGTTGTTTGAATGATTTTAATGTCGCTAAATACAATTTTTTCAATATTTGCAGCTAAATACTTTAAGAAAGTGAAACAAATGCAGAATTATCGGGACGAGTGCTGTCAATATTGTGGCCACGTAGGCCTTCAGAACGGAGATGATGGTTTTTTCTATTGTATGCGATGCTCTTCTCAATCGGAGGACTTAATTGAAACGGGTATGGCTGATGAGGACATGGCTCCTGGCGGCATATACTCGGTCAGGCACCGCCGTAAGCGTACTAATGTAATGGAAGTCATACCTGTTTCTCAGCATGATCCCCTGTACGATTCCCAACCTCAATTGTGGAAGGCCCTGGGCTTGGAAGATCAGTTCCCTCAACGAAGAGATGACCCCTCGGTTCTCGATGATTTTGGATGTTTGAGTAACGCAATAGCTCCGAGCTATGAAGATTATTACAATAGCGTGAGGTTCAGGTATCTAATAGGCTTACAGATTATGTTGCAGCTTCAATGCGAAACACTAGTAAAAAATTTCAAGGTGAATCATCAGATATGTGATTTGGCTGCGAAATATTGGTTGAAGTATGTAGAGAAGACTAATATCTTGGGTTGCGACTGGGCTGATGTAGTTGTTCTTGAGTCTGAAATGCAACAAGTTACAGGTAATACTTATTTTTACAGTTACATTTAGATTGAGTGAAATAATATGTCTTTAGAGATATCATAGTGTGTGTCGCATTCTTATATAAGCTCTTTAAACTATTTAAACATCACATCAAGCACGATATGTTGTAGCACACTAATTCCAAATGATTAAATCTTGATTTTTGTTTAGGTTTTGGATCTCCAAATTTCTTTAGCTTAATAAGAATGACACCATACATACTTACTTATTATCTCATTGGCTGGGATAGAAGAAGTAAAATCTACTTTAGTTTTTAATACATTTACACATATACATGCACATAACTACGTTATACATATGGGAGAGAAAGAGTAGTTGGATTAAACAGATCAAAATTTTGAGTGTGAAAGTTGTTTGTTTTGCCATGTGTATATAACATATCTACTTTCCTTTTTTTAGAACAAGTGTTTTCAACATGTTAAAACTCCCTTCTATTCAATAATAGCTATATTACCCATATCCTATGTTTTTTATTTCTATTTGTGCCCTATTTGAAATAGGTTAAGTTTATCCATCAAGAATGGACTTATAGGCTTTTTCTAACTGTTTATGATCATTCATTATTAGAAGTACTGATTATTGGAGATAATATGCATATTTTGCAACTATATCAATTACTTTCTAATTTTTGAGACTTCCCTATCATTGTGCATGTCTATGCTTCTCATTTTCATTGCTTATTTAGGGTCTGAAGACAACGTTCAAAAACTACCTGTGAAACACAAAAGAGAATTTCACAATATCCTTGGTGAACGTGTTGTAATGATATGGTACAAGTCTTTAAGCAAGATGATTCCATTGGATTGTACTGTAGCAATTTTATTCTTGGCTTGTCACATGACTAATGAGGCAGTGTTGCCTATAGACATCTCACAATGGGCTGTTGAAGGAAAACTTCCATATTTATCTGCCGTTGTTGAAATCAAGAAGCGTATGGGGCCATCTAACAGTTCATGTCCTATAGATTTCAATCAAATGTTCAAACCTTCACGAGATGTCTTGCCACAAAAGATTGAGACTTTGGCTGCAACAATTGCTGATTTTATAGGCTTGGAGATGCCTCCTGTGAACTTTTTTGAGATAGCTAGTCGATATATCCGGCAGTTAAAGCTTCCTTATGAAAAGATTCTGCCTAAAGCAATGCTTATCTATGAATGGTCTTTGTCTCCCGGCTTATGGTTATCCACAAATCAGTCAAGGTTTCCAACTCGCTTATGTGTTCTCTCAATTATAATTGTAGCCATTCGGATGTTGTATAACATTAATGGTTTTGGATTTTGGGAGAGGAGTTTGTCCACTAATGCAGCTCCAAGTGGTTCTAGAGGCAAAAAAAAATGTTCAATGGATTTAAATCTTGAGCGGGATCAACTTGAAGAGGAAGCTACCAAGCTGCTTTCCCACCTTCATTCCTTATACACTGGGGTTCCAAAACAATATGGTATGAACTTCTTGAAGCTTTTTATTTTAGTTTTTTATTTCATAAGTTACATATAAACAAAAGTATGCATTTAGTTTTCTAACAAATTAAGTTTAATTTAAAAAAGCAAAAATGATTATATTAAAATATCATTATTTGATAACTTTTTGTCTACATTTAACGGTGTAGTGTAAATATTTTGGGGTAATGAAACTAATATTGTTAGCGTTAGAAGATTATTAACACTATTTTGTATGAAATTAGTAGATGGAATGTGCACTTTTAGTTTATTTATATATAAATTTTCTTTCTATGGTAACTTTGTTAAAGAACTTGATGTTTTTGGATATATGGAGTCAGAGTATGCAAAGGACTTGCAAACATATCTCAAATATTGCGAGGATTCTGTCTTTGCTGGATTGGAACTACCTTTTGAAGATTACGAAGAGAACATGATGATTAAAGATGGAGAGGTAAAATAGAACCCTTAATATTCTTGTAAAGTTTATTTCCAACTCATTAATTTTGAAATAAATTCTCAAAAACTTAATGAGAGAAAGTTTACTTTTGATAAATTACTAAGTTGAGAAATCATTTCAAAATATTGGAATTGGTTCAGAATTTGAAACATAATTCATTGATTTTTCTCATTGATTTCAGGATTCATGGGTGTCAAAGGTTTCAGAACCCAAAACTGATGAACAAAAATTTGCAGGCATCGAAGAAAATGAAGCTCTCAAAACATTGAAATTGGACATGCAAGAGAAGGGATTTAATTACATACCTCCAAGGATGAAACCAAGAAAATTCAATTATATTTATTATGGGAGAAAAAAGGATGATGGTATTTTGTCTTATGTTGCTCATGCTGATTATTACATTTTACTTCGTGCTTGTGCTCAGCTTGCACAAGTTGATATTCGGATCATGCATATGGCGGTAATGAAGTTTGAGAAAAGGCTGGATTGGATCGAAAAAAAGATTGAAAACATCTTGTCTTTTGAATCCACAAAGTGTGAGCATTGTTGCCACTGATTTGGGTGTTGTGAATTGATTTTTTTTGGATCCTATATTTGTAGTACTTTCATATAGATATTGTGAGTTGAAGCCCTCTAAGTTAGTCTCGTTTTGTAGTTTGTTCTTGGATTAAATGAATTAGTGTGGCTTTGTTACTATTGCTTGTTAGTCATGATAATGCTTATTAGCTTACCTTGTTTTGATTACAACTTTATAATGTTTTCAAGGTAAAATTGTTTAATACAATGATTGTTTTATTATTTTGGTTCATGAAAATATTGAATGGCAATTATGCTATATTGGCTTAATACAACATTTTTTGGATGCTATGGATAATCTTGAAATGCTAGATTTGTGATTTATAATTTTTTTTCCTTATTACTTTAGTTCACATATAAAACTACATATTTTGACATTAGACTTAAGATAACTAGCTATATGATTAACAGTTTTACTATTTTCATATTCCCAAGTGATTGCATAGCCCGCCGTAAAAAAAAAAAAAAAACTCGATTCTTGAATACTAAATCTAAATTTTGAAATGCTAAGGAGACCATATACAAGTACAACCCATCCAAAGTTTAAGGGATTTTTATAAAATTAATAACTTATGTAAGATACTATATATGATGCCACATATCTTCTATTCAGATAATGTGTCAATTTTCGTTAGAAAATAAAAACTTAGTGGCTTCATGATTAAAAAAAAAAGGAGGAAGAATTAGAAAAAAGGTCTATAGAGAATAATATTTATTGAAGAGGACCATGAATATTGTAACTATTCATGAAGACCAAATATCAAAGTATAAAATTAAAAATACTATATTGCCCCTAATTATATCGTCAACATATCATTTAATTATCAATATCGGTGCCTATCCGTTTTTATATCATTAAGGTTTTTTTCCTTGATTTATATAATCTATTATAAATAAACTCTAGGGAAAATTCTAAAAAAGGTTCTTGGAATATAGAAAATTTCAGATTAGGTCCTAGAATTTTGAAAATGACAGAAAGGGTCAATGACCCAATCTGTCATTTGTGAAATTAAGACAAATTGACAATTTTGCCCTTGGCTAAGCAAAAGTGAATAGTTATTCTCTAAACAAATTTAGATAACGCTTACACTGTTCTAGTGATTACAAGATTAGTTATAGTTAATAATAAGGTACCTGATTATGAAAAAGTGAGTAGTTATTCTCTACACGAATCTAGGTAATGCTTACATTGTTTTAGTGATTACAAAATTAGTTGTAATTAATAACAAGACACTTGACTATGAAAAAGTGAATAGTTATTCGTTACACAAATCTAGGTAACGCCTAAACCCTTATATTGATTTTTTAAATCAATGAATACAAATAAAGACAAAGTTGTCATTAAAAGTGACTTTAGAGATCCATTGGATAATTGCTCGATTTCCCAATTGGCGAAAAATGAGGCTCTTTTCAGTTGCATCTGTTGCCAATGGCATGTAGTCACAGATTTTTCGAATGTCTTCTGGATGTTGGGGATGGGAAGCTTGGCATGCCGCATGATGTACTGCAGTAATTGAAATCCCAAGTGAGTCACTTAAAAGTGACTTTAGAGATCCACTGGATGCAATTGCGAGCTCCACTCATCTCGATTTGTTGGACAATTTGTGTAACATCTTGAAAGTTTAAGCAATTAAGCTTGATTTGCGTGAGAATAAAAGTTAGTTTTGTTGATTAAGGTTAATATAGGCATAAAAATATAAAGAAGAATTACTGAAAGCCATATCTTCTAAACTTCGTAGAGCAGTCTTGAAATTCAGAGATTTTAAATAGACAAACAATAATATTTTTAAAGAGACAAGCAATAATATTTTTAAGTAATTCTTTTTGCACATCTCAAACTTTCCAAAAATACCTAGTATGTTATTTTTGAGATCCATTGCTGAAGTTGAACATTTTTGGTCTAAGTCGAAGAGGTTTTACCAAGCATACAACCATTGAGGAACATGCATTCCAAGCTTTGATACTTCCATCTCGTATCTGATTCTAATCAACATTAGATCATAGATGCGATAACTTTGTTTTCAGTCTTCCCATACAACCCATGGGGGGGGCAAAATCTACTTCACCTTTATATCGAAATTATTCATACAACCGATACGAATTTCGTCTATGATGTTTCAAAATCCTCAATAAATCCTGATCATTTTTTTCCAAATGTGAGTAAGCCCCCACAACATAATGAAACTCTTTTCCATACATATGCGATGCACATGCAGCTTTGTAGGCGAGTAACTGCAAATCACCTAAACCATAACAAAAGTAGACACAAAAAATTAGCATGTCTTGCCCAAAGCAATAATTTATGAGATGAAGTAGATAGAAATTTCAACAGTTCTAAGAGATAAATTAATTTAAAGGCATCAGAAGAATATATATACCAACAGCAATTTCTGACTTGAGAATTTTAGAGCTAAAATGTAAGTTTAACCACCACCTGCCTCGCACCCTCCAAAACTTCTTTGTAAATACTGCAGGAGCACTTCTTTGGAAAGTAGAATTGCGTTGTTTATGTTTATCTTTATGGTTTCTACAACCTTGCTTATTGTCAGATAATCTAAGGAAACAAGAAGCAAACAGCCTCCATGTGTCATAGTGCTCCACATTTGCAGCATCCAAGTGAGAAGCAATAATTTCTACCAGAGATTCAACACTATAGTGCCCTGCATGATATCAAAAGAACAGAAAAGCATGGAATTAAAAATTATGAAGGCTTCTAAATTATATTGTAGAAGGTAAATATGATGATTTAAAAAGTAAAGGAAGACAACAAAGTACCATCGTCATGCATCTTTACAAGCTTTTCTAATGTCTCAGAACATGTTGGATCCTTCTCTAATATATCCTCAAAACAGCTCACAAGTAAGAGAGGATCGTTTGAATTAAATTGCTCCAAGAGGATAGCTTTCAATCTACAAGCGCGTAAATAAGAGACATTGTGAAAGGGGGGTGAAAAAAAACAAATTCAGAGTATTTGCTTGTGTCAAAAGCTATCACCCAACAATGAGTACCCACAAGGAATACCAGGAAAATAAGTTTATATGAACAATAAAAATCACAGCAACCAATAATCTTCCATTGCTTTAAGTAATATCTAGATTTCATTAGGCAGAGTCAGCTATATGGATCACATGGTACCGTCATGCTCTATCAATGACCAAAAACTAGGGTAATGCTTGGGGAAAAAACGATTTCTACATAAACCATGACGTTGTGGGGATATAAAGGGGGCAATAGGGATATAGTAAATAATAGTATAAAGCCCCCTTCGTTATAATGGTGATTGGACTTAACTACTCTAGAGGCATACAAGGTAGGAATTTCTTAACAACCGTATAAATAACACGTAGACAAGATTCATCGACAGTATTTGCAATCCTCATGCAAACAGATCCTTTTTTTTTCTTTTTTGCTGCTGCTGCTTCTTTTTTTTTTTGGTGGGGTGGCGGGTGAGTGCTTTCACCACTATCACTATAACTTCATATTCTGCAGTGAACCTTAGACAAAGGTCCAAATCTCTATATTCATAGTTCCCCCCATCCAGCCTCATTATCAAACTCAATGTGCTTGCAAACAAATAACCAGACCTGCTATGGAAAATTCCTCTAGTCATGCATATAATCTAAGCATGGCAAATAAATAAAACTACAGAAGTATGCTATATATAGTCTGATAAAACATTTCTTTTCCAATGGAGTTTAGCCAAAGCTAAGCACGGAATGTGAGGTATAGCCTTGCTCTTGCCAGTATTTCATTAAAGACATAACATTGATCCATCCATTGCATACAAAAAGCTAAGGGGTACATACCTAAATGGAAGAGCAGAGAGAGAAGCACAGCACTGCTTCTCAATTATTTTTAGTGCCTCATCAACTCGACCTCCAATGAGCAAAAGCTGGGAAAACAAAGATTTAAAATGTGAAAGGGCTACTGGCATCTAAAACCATTTTGACATACAGAACCGAACGAACCAACGCTCTCAATGACGTAGTCATGCTATTTGAACACTGCAACACCCATGTAAAATGCATTTGGATATGATCATGGATGCTTTGTACCTGTATCAATGGAAGTAATGATGCCGATGCGGAGGGCGTTGAGTCAAGAGCTATTTGTAAATACCTCACTGCATTTCTGTAATTTTCATTAAGCAGCTTGCCGTGCATGAGAGTGAAATTCTCAACACTGTTGCAGTCAGGTAGATGCAAGGGTAACAACCACGAATCAAGTCCCTCTAAAACAAATGCAAAACATTAGTAATATGTCAGAGGCGAACCAACAGTTAACCACATTCAACCTAAAACATGATGCATAATTTGTAATTTAAAATAGAGGTTGATAGAATAAAGTAAACACGCATTTGCCTCTAATTTCCATCTGTATCTATTTTGTTGTTTTATGAGGTCAATCTCCATCTACATCTCAACTATATCAAAACTGAACAAAAGTCTCCTAATGAAGTTCACACTACATTTTTTTCCAAATATACAAGTCTACATAAATTAAACAGGTAGAAATAAGAATGTTTTTCACTCAAAAAAGCGTGCAGCTTAACCCATGTTGCTATCATAGCCAACAAGATGATATATACATATATATGTTCTCTAGTCAAATGTTTTGATCGGAATAAAAAACATCCTATATGGATGAATTGCAAAACAGAACAAAATTCAGAAATGCCTGCTCCAGAGCTGTTAATTTTGCGATGTCTTACCTAATGGTCCAATATGGCATCATATAAGTCAATTGTGCAGGTGGAATTAGAATCGCTTATGTAAAGAATTATTATTCTGTTGGCCTAATAGCCATATCCCCAAATCTGTAACCAATTTAATTACTAATAAACCAAGACCTAGTTATGTTTCTGCTGAAAGCAACATTTCCCAGTATCATAAGCTTCACTGATTTCCTCAATTTAAAATTGGCTAAAATGCCTATAATCCTTGAATTTTAGATCATGTGAAAATAACTTCTAATCCCTTAAAAATTGAAAAATAAATCCCCTCAAACTTAAAATGATGTACAAATAAGTCCTTCCAGTTAATTTGTTATTTCACAAAACAAAAGCTTGACACATTAGGTTGTGGAAATTATCGACACATAATTCACACTGAAATGTGTTATTTGTGTAGAAAAATAAATTTTAGGAAGGTTCATTTAATCTGACCTGTCACCCTTATTTTGAACATTAGGTGTTATATGACTCCAAATTCACAGAATTCTATGCATTTTCAGCATTTAAAATTCCTGATCGTCCCATCACATAAAAACTTTGGGTTTCCATTGCCGTTAAATGAACCTTTTTGAAATTTATTTTTTCAGACAAATAACACATTTGAGCATGAATTATGTGTTAGATAATTTCCATAAACGTTAGGTCATGAAACCCTCTCCCTAATGTGTCAAGCATTTAAAATTCCTGAAACTGCCACAAAGTGAACAAAACTAATATAAACCCACCTACAAAATTTATAACACAAAAAACAAAACAAAAAATTTGAAAGAAAAATATAAAAAACTAACAACAAAGTGTGAAGTTTTAAATATATATATATATAAAAGGAATATATATTGAAAATTTACCAAGACTGTGTAAAGAATAGGCATCTCGCGCATAAAATCTGGAGTCAACATCCATATCTTCTGAAAATTCTTCAGAATCCGAGTAAAAACCTTGCGGTTGGAAGTTTGACTGAGGTATTTTCCTTTGATGGTCAGCATCAATCTTCTTATCCTTACACGAGTTCGAAGTTTCAGATGTCTTATGCCACCCTAATCGATCATGTTGACTGCTGAATTTGTCCCCCTTCGTATATGAAGTCCCAGGGCAATCAAACTGGTCTGAGTTTCTCCACTGGAACTCTTTTGGAATACAGGAATACCACAGCTCATAATATATCAAACCCATCACCATATTTGCTATATGATCGCCGCCAGGCCCATTTTCTTGCCTAATCCTGGGAAAGAAATAGGAAGAATAGCAAAGAAGTTTGAGTTTAATGGTCAGTTTTAAAATAGAAAAATGTCATTAAAGAAATGCAATCACTGACAATAAGAAGAAATCGGAACTCTAAAACATTAAAATATTTAATATATTATTCACCAGATAATAATGACACTAAAATTTAGGCTTTGTTTGGTTTCTTGTTTTGAAAACAATTTTCTGTTTTTAAAAACATAAAAACAAAAAAACTTGTTTAGTAAGTTATTTTTAGTTGATTGTTTTAAAAAACAAAAAAACAACATGTTTTAAAAAACCAAAACAACTTTTACATGTTTTCCTGCTTTTGTTTTTGTGTTTTTTATTTTTTGTTTTGAAAAGTTTTAAGAAATTTTCTTCTCTTCTTACCTATTATGCACTACTTATTATTACCAATGACAACTATCATCCACCAAATGTGATTTTCTATTGGTTTTTGTTTCAAACATGATTTTTTTTTAAAATTATTATCCAAACAAATTCTCTTTTTTTTGTTTTCAAAACTTGTTCTAAAAAACAATTTTATAAAATTGTTTTGAGAACAAGAAAACAAAGAACAAAAACAAACAAGCCCTTAGTAACTCTTTAAAACTTCGCCCTTCCATTCTAGCATCTCCATCTCTACACTATAAATAATATGCGAAGTGGGCAGCACAAGAGCCGGGTACAAGTCCTAAAAGCTTCTAATCAATAAAAGCATGCTAAAAGGCTTCAGACTTCTTCCAGTTTCCTTCCAGCTTTTGAAATATGCCCTCATTCTCCTTCTATGCCTCACTAAAAGCTAATCAATTTAGGCACACGCAGCTACATGCTCTAACTTAAGATTATCATAGTTGTGTCAGACAAAAAATAAAAAATAAAAAAATATAAGCACTTACCAGGAAAACTTGTTCAGTGTAAACCATTTAGTGTGATACCAACATATATTTAATGGTGATACTAGGAAACGACAATTAAATAATTGAAAACTTCGCATGCATTGTGAACAATTCGTTTCAAAGAATCTCAAAAAAACCTTCCCCATAAAAGGGAAGGGCTTATGATCAGTCAACTAATGTATGAAACAATACTTGGCATACTAATTGCTACTGATATTCATTTGCAAAACCAAGAGATTACGTATTAACCCCAAAAATAAAAGGGATAAGCACTAAAGAACAAAAGAACATACCACATAACGGCCTCATAAGCATCCTGAATGTTGCCTTGCATCATAAAAAACAGCATGTAGTCCACATAAACTGCATATTTATTCTGCTTCACAAGTAACACTTTATATCAATTGCAGAAGCCTCAAGAAACATTTCGGCATCACAATTGCAAAATCAAAATATAAGTAAACAAGGCAATTATAAAGTTAGGAAACTCTATTCCCATTCTGCCCTTCGCTGAACTTGCATTCTCTATTGTATTTTAGCTTCGGCCTGGCTCGCTACTCTTTGTTTTTCTTCCAGATTCTCGGAATAATAGGGAATAATTACCTCAATAATTTATAAATAAATAAAATTACTTAGTACTACGACCCACGACTCTAAATTTGAGGACCACTCAACAAAACAGAAGAATAACCTAAATAATATTATTGAATGCAAAATATAAAAAACAACTTAAATAATATTTATTCCAGATACTGTTTTAAGTCGCCACATCACCCCTTATCCCACAATAATTGGTAATCTATCATGTTAATCCCTTCAAGGCATCAAGAATAAGTCAAAACTAGTTAGAATCTAGCAGCATTGAAAACAATTGGCAAAAACAACTTAGGAAAAAGTACCACGAAATATACCTCTGTTGGCTTATGTTTCATTTTTCCATTCCTCTTCATCCAAATATCATAGATGTGTTTTATTCTTCTTGGTTTGATATTACCATTTTCCACATGTTTGAGAAGCCTCAGTAAAACCTACAGATGTGACAACACAAATCATGGTATTGAAAATCTAAATATGGATATCAGTACTGGAAAAATAAATCACAACCTAGTACTATGGCAGTACATCTAAATATGAAAGTTACATACAAATGGTACATTTCTCAGCAATTTAGACTTGTAAGTCTGGAATTACTTTTCATATATTAGCTCACATTTTTAGAATATATTGCAACCCAACAACAAAGCAAGCTATTGATAAAGACAAAAATTTAAAAAAAAATTTAAAATTTAAAATTTAAAAATTAAAAAAAAAAAAAAAAAAAAAAAACCCTCCTTCAAAACAGTTTACATTTAAATAGAGAGTTGGCAAAAGTGCACCATCCTATCATACCTTGTAAAATTCTTTATCCAGACATCAAGTTTGCACAAACTTTGTGCCATATTTGCGTGGGGATAATGAAACGAAAGGGACAAGAAGAAAATGCTTCATTGGACTCTGTTTACCAGTATTTTACAAGGAGGGATAGAGAATGAAAAATCATCCGCTAATCTCTCAAAACTTCAAATATTTAAGTTCCCAATCTATAAATTTTGATATTCGAGAGAGAAGTTAACTAACACATGTTAAGTTATTGGTTATCCTTTAAATTTCATATCAATAAATCAAATTATCAAAACAGAGCATATAATGATAAATAAATGTGTCAAAACATATATTGAACTTACTGATTTCATCTTTTTAGTTTTTTTTTTTTGTCAACCTCTTTTTAGCTTATTATGAAGTTAATTCAAACTAAGAAAATGGCAATTATTCAACCATCCCTTTTCCCCCTCTCGTGCCCTTCTCTTCCAACGGAAAGGATTAGATGACGAAATTTTAAAAATTGCCAAATAATTTCTAAGAACCTAAAATCCCATCCCCAATCCCAAATTTTAAAATCACCACAGTAATGCCAAAACGCCAGAACAAATAAGCTTGTTCAAAACAAATGGTTTCCATGCTAATATTATATTAAACTCATACCGAATACTTAAACTGATTCTCAAAAGGGGACGCATCTTTATTCGTTGCTCGCAGATACACACTAAGAACACCACTAGCTTCCACCCAATTTTGTTGGTTCACAAGCTTGTGTAAGAGCTTCCGCAATATACCCACATGTCGTGACCTCAATGTGTTAGGACGCAGTCTTTGAACATAAGAAGGCTTCTTCAGTGGCAAAATGATTCTTTTGCCAGCATTTTCCCTGCTTGACTTCCTTTTACGACTGTCGGTTGACGTAGCACCATATGAAGCCATTTTTAACATCAGGTTCATCAAAAAGTCATCACAAGTGAAAATACAGAGAACGAGAAATTACATTACACAAGGACAAAATTTACATGGTTAACTGAGTATATTTAACATCAAGTTTCCCCAGTTACTATTAACTTGTATAAACTTCAAATCATGAAAATATCTAATTCCCTCAATCCAATTTCAGCTTCTGAAATGAACACATGTTCTCGAACATCATTCTTCCTAATTTCAATAAAAGACCCCTCCACTATGAAAACTTACTATTAATCCCACTACTACCCTGCAGAAAGTCACAAGATCCACAAGTTCATGAGGGCCTGATTTGCAGGAAGTTAGAGCGATAAGAAGACGGGAAAGAAAGAAAAAAGCAAACCCTCGTTTATGGCGTTGAGGGTTTGAGGCAAGAGGGTCGATAGCGCGGTCATTGGGATGAAAATCGTCGTCCTTCTCGAACTCTTCAACGGAAGAAGTCATTGTGGCAGCAGAGGAAACCCAGAACAAGAAAGAGTATTCGATGACCCTACAAAGCAAAACAAGCTTGAAGAAGATGAAATCATGGTAAAGAGAGCGCCAACAAGGAAATCGTATGGCGGGAGATATATAACAATATCTACCTAGTTTTTTTTTTCTAAGTGGAAGAGAAGTTTTATTGATAACAAATACTTACAAAGTCAAGCACAAACAACAAAAAGGAAATTGCTAGCTTCTAGAAATCAAACTAGATGCGTTTTCTTATGAAAATCTTTGGCTTGGGTGGTATCTTCATTTAAAGATAGAACTTCATTAGTCAAAGCGGTAGGGGCTGGTGGAAGCTTACGTGAATAACTTGCAGTTCCACACTGAATTTGAAAGGAGTATACGAAAATAAAAAGTTCCACGTTGAAAACACTTACGATCTGATGCTGAGGCTATGGAGCTCGCCAACGAGAACTGAACGGAGGAAGGCGACTGCAATAATCGTCTGTTGTCAAAATCAGCTTTCATGCAAACAATGAGAGGATCAGACTCAGTCATCAAACAAGAAGAATTTGAGATAACAACCACCGAAATAGCAATGATATTATTACTTGAAGATGAGTTGAGGAGGAGGAGGACGCTTCAGCTTCACCTGCACAAATCCTTTCTCGTTTCTTCTCTCTCTCTCTCTCTTTTCTCTTCAGTTGGCTTAGAAATGGTTGGCTTACCAGGCCTTCAGTCCAGCTACTTTTATATAACTGAGCACACGGTAGTTCCCTGTTTTTGTTTTTGTTTTTTTGTTTTTATTTTTCTTTCCCTTCTCCGAGTATTTATTGACAAGTGACAAGTTTTTCACCTCTCCAAAATTTATCAAGTTTAATCAAAATACCATTTTTTAATATAAAAATTATTTTAAATATATATTTATCAAAAAAATCGTTCAATCAAAAATAATTGTAATAAATAAAATTTCAAACTTTCTAGTATGTTATCAAATTTATTATTTGGGTTAACATAATTTTTTATCCCTTAAGTTTGTTTTTATTTTAATTTTGATCTATTAAGTTTTAAACCATAGGTTTAAGTCCCTCAAAGGACAAAATAATTAAAATTTTTATTAAATTATAAAGATTAATATTTTAAATAAAATGAAACTTGAAAAACTAAAATCAAAGTGCCATAAACTTAAAAGACTAAAAATTGTATTAATAATTATCATTTAAAAAAAAATACCACTCTATTCAGTTGGACCTTCATGGTTGACATTGACTATGTGAATGTTTGGGTGAAAACCAAACTATAATTTTAAAAATAATTTTATGGTATACAAAATAAATATATAAAAAGAGTTTTATCTTGACTTATATGAAAGTATTTTTTTCAAGTGCTTTTGATTGCTCTCAACACTCCTATATACATATATATTCCTTTTTATTCTTATTGTAAGAACTCTTTTAGGAAAAAAATTTATCTTTTTTATAAAAAAATTCAATAGTTTCAATCAATATTAAATGTCTTTTCATATATGTTCGTATTTAATTAAAAAAATAATGAGAGATGTTAGAGTTTAGTAATTAGAGTAATCAATTTAATATTTTTAATTACTTTTATTTATACATGCAGTTTAATTGGTAAATTTTTTATGATAAAGAGAAAAGAGAGTAGGAATGTATGTTCTTGGTTTGGCAAAGTACGGAGATAAAAATGTTCGCTTGGTAAGTAGTCTGGCTCAAAAAAAAAAAAAATCATTTTTAATTTTCTATGACATTATATAATTTTTATTTGAATAATTTTTTTATTTCAGTTAAATTTTTTTATTTCAATTTAAGATAAGAGACATCATAGCGTGAAACATTCTTGAAAAATGAGGTGGAAAATATTAGCAGCAATATCATTGTATTATCATTATTATATCTTAATATAATATCTAGTTTGTAACCCAATTTGAATTATAAGCTAGATCTTGAGGATTGGAAATACTATTTTTTTTAAAAAAAATTAAGAGCCATTTCATACAACCTCTTAAATTTTTTTGAAAAATTATATAGATCATTTAATATACTCTTATTTATAATGTATTTTTAGTATATTTCGTACAAACACCAAACTGTATTAACTATCCCTTAAAATATAACAATTTTTTAACTTTATCTCTATTTGATATATAAAAATGACTATCTATATTATAATTATAAAAAATAAAAAATAAAATAGTATGATGTGCCTTATAAATAAGATTAATAAAAATATTTTTTCTTTCTTATAAATAAGATTAGAAAAGTAATTAATTTTACTACTTAATAAATAGATGTTTTTATTTTTAAATCACAGTTTCAAGAAAGGCATACTTGAAAGCCCTATGGAGAGTCTGTCTATGGCTCCGGACCTATATGCGTCTTATCGATTAGGTTGAGGCGATTTATTCAATATCGCTCCACTGCAGTCTTAGCACCTAGGGGGCGCCTGCTTTAAAGGAAGGTAAAGGTCTTTTTCCCAACCGCAATTTGATTTTGTATAAGTGTCCATTTTTAATGGTTTAATATTATTTTTATACATTTTAATTAAATTATGTCATCTTAATTACTCTTCCCGTCCTTAATATAGGACCCAATTCTTGAGTTAGTTTTGGTCCTAAATATAAGACCTATTTTTCATATTTATCAATTTTCTCTAAATTACCCCTATGGATACTCTATCAACCATAATCAAATAGAAGAGGGAGATGAGGTATTAAGAAAGGTGATTATGGTGTTTTAGGAAAAATGTGTGATTTTTTTTTATAATTAACTAACTTACCTAACTTCCTTAATCTAATCAAATTAGTTAAATTAGTCTTATATTAAGGATCGGAGGAGTATATCAAAATGAACTATTGATTTCGCATTACCACTTCAACCATTTCATTGACCGGTTGAATTTTCACACACCAAAAATATGTTTAAATGTTAAAAATCAAGTCAAAAATTCAGCACGTCAGTAGTTAGTAGAATAGGTTAGGCCATCTAGTGAAAATTCATCCGAACTTTTTTTTTTTCATTTTTTGATATATGATATGGGTTATAAAAGAATTATATGAGAACTCAGTTTCTCAGCTAATAATATTCCTCAGTCTTCTTCCGGAGCAAGTATTATGGGCTATAGAAACCTTATGGGTTTTTGACTTTTTTGGTTTTTCTGTCATTTTAAGAGATACTTTTTTATTCTTAATATAAAATCTAATTATTAAATTAATTTTAGTTATAAATACAAGACATATTTTTCATATTAATTAATGTTTCTAAATTACTTCTATTGATACTCCTTCAACCATAATTAAGTAGAAGGAAACGGAGGATATTTTGTAGAAAACATGTCATAGAAACCTATTATGGGTTTTTGACTTTTTTGGTTTCTCTCTCATTTTAAGAGATACTTTTTTATTCTTAATGTAAGACCTAATTATTAAATTAATTTTAGTCATAAATGTAAGACATGTTTTTCATATTTATTAATTTTGTCTAAATTACCTCTATTATACTCCTTCAACCATAATCAAGTAGAAGGAAAAGAAGGATATCAAGAAATATGATTATGTTATTTTTTAGAAAACATGTCATATTTATTATAATTAACTAACTTACCTAACTTATTTAATTTAATCAAATTAATTAAAAAAATCTTATATTAAGCCCTGAAAGAATACTTAATTTATACTCCTTCGATCCTTAATATAAGACCTGATTAATTAATCTGAATAGATTAAAAATTTTCATTAAATTAGTTAATATTATTTTTTAAAAAAAAATACCCTAAGCAGTTCTTAATTCCCTCCTTCCCTCTCCGACTTGATTAATGTTGGGAAATATCAATAGAATTAATTCAAACAAAATTGATAAGTATGTGAAATAAATGTTACATATAAAACTAATATCAACTTCTCAATTAGGCCTTATAGACTAGAGGAGTAATTTTTTATCATCAGAAAAATTAATAGTTATGTTACCTTATATGAATTAGGGTTCGTTTGGATTGCCGTTAGGAATGGTAAAAGCATATGGGGAAGTGTAAAACTGAGGTTTGTGGCTTATTGTGACTCAAAAGCTTGTTTGAATAGGGCTTCTTTTCTAACTGACTTATCAAACGCAATCTGAATCAACTTTTTTAACTGACTTATAAAAAAATTGTGCGAAGTTTACAATCTAATTAGTTATATGATTTTATTTACTTTAATTAGAGACTAAATGAATTTTAATTTATATTCATGTTTGTCGATTATGTATATTTAATTAATTATCTACAATGTGTTTTCAAATTTTTCTCCGTAACAAATATTTTTATTTTATAATTTCAAAAATAAACTATTTATATTTTATCATAATAATTTTATGTATTTTTTTAAACTATTATCACATTAAAAACATAAAATTTCAAACATTACTATTCAATAAAGTTCATGTCCTTTTCAATCATTTTATAACTAAACTAACTTTTCTATTAATCATCCAAACAACTTTTAACTTTTTCAACTGACTTTTTATAAGCACATGTCCAAACATAAATCACAT